TTGAAAAAATTTCTTCCAAAAAAAAAAGAAAGGAATTCATTAATTCACTCACATATTTAGAGAAGTTATGTCATTATTATTTATTTATTTACGTCGAGCTATATACAAATATATGTGCGTATGTTTGTATTTTGCAATCCTCTTTTCGAGAAGGGTTGAAAAATTTGCATTCACTTGATTGATTTCGAATGCAATCAGCACACAGAAATCGAATGTGTTTCGCACATAAATACACACACATACACATGTGCGTAGTAAAATATATGTATGCATTTGTACAAATGTGTCGCGCACTTAACATGTAAACAAGCGTAACACTTCCTTTGGTGGAATAACATAATCACCAGAAAATTTACTCATACGACGGACCTAACGGCACACTCGTTATGTTAATAAATATGTATGTGTGAGTGTGTGTGCGTGTGTGTGAACTAAAAGCGGACAGACGAACCTGACAGTTAACATCCCTTAAAACACTTAAGTGGCATATTTGAAAGGCCAACATTCGCTCTATGGTTTGAGGTGATAAGGTCCTTGTTAGCGCTAACCACATACATACATACGTTCGTACATATGTATGTAACGAATGTGTGCAACTTTGGTTAATGTCAATATGTACTCATATGTATACGCACGCACAGCATACACTCCGCTTGCTTTGGAGTGCGACACGACGGTCCTCCATATTTAACTGCGACTGTGAATCAAATTTATGTGCCACTTGTGGCTTGCGGCGTTTTGCCCATTATCCTCAACGCTCTAGCCATTGTTGTGGTCGTTAAAAGTGAATTTCACCGATAGCTGGTAAATTGGTTGATGTATTACGTTTAGTGACATGTGGCAAATGTGTATCCACGTACATGCATATATACATACACGTATATAGGTGGCAATCATTTCATTTAATTTGTGTATGTGTGTGTGTGTGCGTGTGTTACATAAAGTTCAGCCATCACCATAATCGAATATGTGTGGAATTTGAACTCGAAACTTTGTGGTTTGCATTATCACTGATGTCCTGGATGCCAAATAAGCCCGTTTACCTCGTGCTCAGACGTCATTTAAACTCATTTCATACTCCTGCACGGAGACGAATAGTTATTTTTCACTTTCAAAGTGATGAAGTTGACGCTACTCAACGCTAATTCAAGACTGTCAGGTGAATAATTTAAAAGTCTCTGGAGCGATTTTTTTGAAAACAAATTTTAATCAATTCCATGTTGACCAGTATTATATAATACGTGTATATAAGCTTTTGCAGTTTGTGTAGCCTCATAATTCCATTAGTCAGATGCCCCTGCCTAAATGTACATACGAGTATAAGCATGTATTTGGTGAGGTTTGCAGAATTTACCAGCTTATTGAGCGACTGACTGGGCAGAACGGCGTTCATCTTTGAGATCCGAATTGGGAACGGAATTGAGCAAACGTCTTCTTCATCACACACAATTTACTGAACTGTTTCTCGAAAAACATTGCAGAAACACATATTCGGAAAGGTGTTGCCCGAAGTGAGAGTATCAATATTATCTTGTCACAAAAACCCTATTGGCGCTCTGTAATCGCTCAAACGAATTTCCGCTCTACTCAAATTTGTCGTGTTCGTATTTGTGTGGCTTTGCGTCTTGATGTTTTTTACAATATATGCACAGACTTAAAGTTTATACAAAGTTTTTTATGACGAACCCTTTTATTTCATGTCAGAAATACACTCGGAGAGGTTCACATTCCCTGCCGGGGGGCGACCACAACTAGAAAATTTAGCTTATTTTTTATTTCACTGACACTTGACAGTACGCAATGCTAACCACTCGGCTACCGCGGCCGCCTTTAGTTTTTCCAAGAAATGGTGGGGATCTAAAGTTTTTCTCAAATCCGCTTCTGAACGGAAGAAGGATTATAATGAAATGATTTTTATTGAATGTCAAATCCCTACACCACTTTAAATTCGCCTTTGTCAGCTCCTAAAGAGTTGTGGCTACGCCGCTGTATCTCAATTTGGTATCCCGGCAAAACTTTTACAGCTGAGTAAATTGACCATGGTTTCGTAAGAATTAGAAAAAAGTCCACATGTGTTTGTTTGCATTGTGTGCCTTTTTAACCTAAACCCAGAAAGTGCAAATTTTAATAAAAGCGGAAGATTTAAATTGTATTGCGTCAATGAGCGAGCCCTTTAATTGGGTTTCTTCAGACTGTAAAAGGCACAGATTATTACGATAACACATCTTTTGATATTATGAGTTTCCCGAAGGCCTTTTGAATGGCCCGAATTTAATAAATTATATTTAAATTACCGCTTTTGTAGCATGCTTGTTAGTCCGTGCTATCATACGGAAGATCCTGGTTCCTAAGCTTCAATAGTCTAAATTGCTTTTAAATATGTTCACTCCTCAGAGAGGAATGTTAGGCTCTCCGAGTGTATTTCTGATATAAAATAAACTGGTCTAAGCCTTTTTTACTACAATTGATCATGTATTCGGCACTAATCACAACGTAAATCTGTATATTTCAATGTTCAAATTCTTCTTATTTTGTTGTTATTCACTACTCAGATTGAATAAAGATTTGCAAAGCACTGTTAGAATAAGCAAACTCGACTTAAATCTACCCTTTGGATGCCAAGGAATGGAGTGTAAAGCACAATGTCTCGTGTCATAATTTCTTAATCAGGAACGGCAAAATAATCATTTAACCACAATATTTTGTAATCGTAAATATTTTGCATCCCGATTGTCAAATATTTGTATGGTCTCATAAAAAGGGTTTTCCAATAAGTGCTTCCATATTGTAGGGAACACACAGTAGATGCCACTTTTGAAGTTAATTTTTTTTTTTAAATTGACTAGTAAAAGCAACGTCAGTAATAAAAACGGAACTATGCACCCTTCAACAATGCATTGAAATTATTAAAATTCTCTATAAAAATGTCACATTTATTAAGTCCGTTGGTTAATACTCAACTTGTGACCTATTTTATAGGGCCACCAACAACGAAATACATGAATCGCTGATTTTAGCATAAAAATAACTTCTAGAAAAAATTTAAAATTGTTTCGAGTCTATTTCCGCTAACCATTTGCGGAGTTTCAGCCAAATCGTAGGCCATCGCGTAGATGCCTGACATGCATATGTACAGGTACCTAGGTATATAATATATATGTATGTGCGTTTCCATTATTTTTTTTATCTATGCACGTGAGTCAGAAATTTTGATGTAAATGTGAAAAAGACGGTTTTTTACTCAAAATCAAAAATTATATCACAGAATCTTCTTAAATTAGGGGTCCGTTCCTACTGTTCTTCTCAATAGACTCTCAAATTTCAAGAAAAAACTTTGTTTAAGCGTGCATCCAATAGTTTTCAACTAAAAAAATGTTTTTGTCAAATTTTACCTATCTTTTTATTATATCGATTATAAGTAACGTTTTTGAAGTGCAGGGTCTACCAGCAGCGAATGGCTTTTTCTTAATTAAGACATCTAAAAATCTCTTGAGAAATTCCGTTATGGAGTCAAACTCGTATTCAAGTTATAAATCTTTTAATATGATTTTCAAAATTGCAATAACCCTAATAAGCGATGCTCTAATAATCATCACTTGAATGCGCAAAATAATAATTATAGAATAAAAAAGAAATAATTTCACGAAGTTTTATTTTAAGTATCAATTTTATATTGACTATTTTATATCATTACTGTATTAATGAAAACAACAAAAAATTTGGAATGCTCATTTCACAACTTTTTCGCAATCCAGTCTTTCACCTTCATAGGTTTTGATTTTTTAAAATGGTGTTACATTCTAAAAGTTCACGAAACTCATAAGTTTTTCGAAAATTTAAGCATAATTCCAAGAAAAATATGCTTTCATATTTGTACAATGGTCGAACAAACACGATTTTAAGAACCGATGAAGCTCATATAAAACATGTCTACGAGTTAGATCAACCGATACACAAAGTTTTCTGATTTGTTCAAAAACGGAAAACATATTTTTAGATGCAAAATATTGTAGAAAATCACTTCCATAAACTCTAAGCCGGAAAGGATTTCAGACGTTACCTCAGTTAGTTAATGAGGGTGATTACTCAAGCGCACTTTGGCCTGTTGGCTCGTTGTGGTAGATATCTCTCATCTTCCTATATGCTGAAACCATTCAGTATGTTTTATAAAACTCACAGGATTAATGATGCAATATCTGCATGGCAGTCAAAGTAGGAGTTAGTGAATTCTCGTTCCTTTGATTAAGGGCCTGATCTGACTGGTTACATTCCATGCCGTAAATGAAAACGCAACCCTAAATACCTTATAAATTTTTGCAACTATTACACTCGTGCCAGTTTTATAAATGAAATTCAGTTAGCAAGCATGACGGTCGTAGCTTTCAATAAATCCACAAAAAGATCCTGATCGTCTAGAAATCGGTTTCGCGCATTTGAGTTGGTTCGGCCAGGCTGATGATTCATTTACCCAGCGTAAGTCTTTCATTAACGGCTTGATTTTGAAAATTAATATAAATAAATTGGAAATGAGTCTTGGCATAACCAATTCTGATGAAATATTTGCGGCGAAATCGATATTATTTTAATATATAATCTCGCGTTCTAAAAGTGTGATTGGATTAAGCTAAATCATGTAGAAACGTCGATATTTTTTAAAAATATTTTTTAAATTTCATAAATGATAAATTTACACTGATATTTAATTAATATGTATTTTTGCATATTAATATACTTGTATATATGTATACAATATTTTTTTGTTAGAAAAATTACCACTTAACGAGAATTTCTTTTCGCGCGATTATCTGCGATATTTATAATAAATTTCTATTTTGCTGAGATGACATTAACTTAATATATTATTGTTTTTATTTAAATATTAAATATTTTTTTTAAGTCATTTAATTTTTGTTTTGATTTTTCAAAATAACTAATTTTGAAATCAATTTTTGAATACACCTATGTACACTTTATTTCACAAGTCGCTTTTGGTTTATTACTTTTTGATGAAATACCGCAATTAACTCGACCGCCGTTAACTACCGCCTGCGATGACAGTTAAAAATCAAATGAATTGGACCAACAGCAAAGAATTTTAAAATTATGAAAAACGTGCAAAACGCGCGCCATCGTTGGCAGGCACTACCAATAGGCAAAGAAGAGTCAGAGCTGTCGACAGCGCATGCAGCAGCCAAGCCGTAAAACCACCCCCAACGCAAAGGCATAAGGTGAAAAGCAAAAACACAAACAAACCACAAATCACAAACCACAAACATACATACACGTATGTATGTACGTAGTGCAAGCAGCTTTCAGCTGTAACAATGACTGAATCTGTGATTGTGGGTGCAAAGAAGTTGGTGGCGGTGGCAGTGGCGTCGGCAGCAAAGACAACAACAACTACACTCCTACCGTTATGTATGTATTGGTGGCGTTGCGTTTGGTAAGTACGTGTATAATTGAAGGAATCAACGCATCAACACAATTGCTGCAACAACGCCAACATTGCCTGTGTCGCATAGAAAACTTCATAACTTATGATTTGTGAGTTGAGAGTGTGTGAGTAAGAGTTTGTCATTTTCCCTTTTTAAATCGTATATTTGTTGTTAAAAATTTGCACTTGCTTTGCACGTGGTTTTGCGGCTGTTGTTATGCAGCTGGCTTTGTTGTTGTTCTTGTTGTGACTTTTGACGTTCACATCAACTAGACTTGTCAGCATGCGGTGATTTTGTCACTCACTACAAATCGTTGGCAACGCATCAGCATCAGCATCAGCATCAGCATCAACATCAACATCAACAATCGCAACAACAAAGTCGTCAGCACGTCACTTGGTAGTGTGTGGTAAAAAATAGCATAAATGCATATGTATGTGTGTACGTTTGGATGCATTGGAAAGAGTGTGCTGATGGCAGGAAGCAGTCATCATTGTTATCAACATGAAGTGATAGGATTTTCATAGAAAAAAAGCAAGTTGTTAGCAGCAGAATAAGAATTCAGCACATCACATATGTACGAGTACATACATATCTAACCTTCGATACATTTCAGTAGTGGAAATCTCTCTTAAGTACTTTTAAACTTAAAGTGGCGCAACATTTATGTTATGATGCCTTCAGTAAAAAATAAATAAATTAGTGCTGCGAGGAAATCTATTTTCGAGTAGATTTTTTATATTTTCTGCTTTTGAAATTTGCCGTATTAGTACTTCTGGGAGCACGGTCTCAGATCAATAGCTTTCTATAAATAAATCGTTTTTGGTATCAAATCTTCATCGCGAAGATCCAAATGTGTTTTGTTTCATTTGCGTGGAAAACATCGTGTAAAAGTTGAGGAAATCTACAACAAATTTAATAAAAGATGCAATGAGAAGCCAGGTTGTGGGTCAGTGGTAAAAGGAAATGGAAATGGTAAGACCTAACAAATCTCTGTGATGACTATTTTCTGTACTGTGTCAAGTTACGTGACATTGATGTTGAGGAAGTGATTTATCCACACTTAAAATCGGCCAAAAGAACTTCACCATAACCAGAGGAAGAACCTATTCCAATATTTTGCTCCACCCGCGAGCCACTATTTGAAAAAATCTTTAGTGAAGTATCTACCGACCTACCAAATTAAATTAAAGGAAACCGTTATATACATCAGTTAATATATATATTTGATTTGTTCAAGGTTCGTGCAGACCTAAAGATGATTAACATTTTTATTAAATGTTATGAGCAGAAGTTTTGGTCACATTAAACTGTATTTAATGAAATAATATTTGAAGGCGTTAGACAGAAATATTTATATAACGCGAGAATGCCCCAGTCTAAGCTCTAATCATAGAAAAGATAAAAGGGGGTATTTTGGATGGCTCTCAGATAAGAGAGATGCCAATGGCCAGATTGATACCAATTTTGAGGAACTCGTTTGGGGAATTTACTAAAATCTTTCTGGTAAGTCAAGTAACTACTCTGACACCGTTAACCACATGGTGGACAATTTTAAAAATTTAGGTATACTTTGCCCATCAAAGTACATTACCTCCACAGTCACCATCCTATGGCGAATAACAAGGGGTAAAGGCAATGAGATTAGCATGTGATATCTGACACTGATAAAGTAAATGAGTACATAACAGAGGAGCATCCACTGGTTAGTGTTCTTATATATAATTGGCGCTTGTTTCCTTTGTTAAATTTATTTTCTATAATTTTTTGGATGTTGGTCGTTGGTCGTACCAGTATTCAACTCGGTTCTTCCGAATGGCAGTGCGCAATGCATAATAAATATTTGAATTTAAAGTAACTTTTAATAATTTTGGATGATTGCCTGGCCAGGCTTCGAACCCATGGTAGTACGCAATACCTATTTCCTATATCATTCTATAGGCATGATTGCTGACGTCTCTTTTGCTGGGACGTTTACTTTTATACCTCTGTTTCCTGGAAGCCATATTAGCTGATTTTTTTTTTGTTTTTGCAATTTATGATTTAATTTCACATCTTTTAGTTGTATTTCGTTTTCATCAATTTTACTTCTTTTTTAAGCATTAATATTTATTTATTGAATCTGCATTGTCGTGTGCCCCATAACTGGATTCCATACATCCATATCGGTTTGATTGTTGCATTATATCGGAGGACTTTGTTACTCAGGCCAAGTCCAGACTTCTTATTTCTTAGCCTGTTATTTCCCTTCATATAGTCAACGGAGACTTATTTGCCTTTTGTTCTATGACATCTTGAAATGGTGTAAGCTCTAGGAAGGGGCTCAGTGCCGCTAGTCTTTGAATCTTCAGCAGTGCAGTCTTTATAAAATTCTGTTGAGCCTTTTTCGAGCATATCACTGCTCCCCCCAAGATTAGAATTTTCCTGCAAGTTACTTGCCATTAATAAACTGGTTGTCTTATATACGAGCTCAGGTATAGTATTTCGTAAAAAAGTATTTATTTATTCATTAATATCTATTTTGTCTCCTTCAAAGTAGACACCACCAGATAAAACGTACTTATGGCAGCGTTTTTTACAACCCGCAACGCACTTAAAAAGTGAGTTTTTGTGATTTTTTTCAGGTCCTCAATAGCAGCACGTCGTGTTTTGGAAACAAAAAAAAATTACAGAGCGTTAGGTCTGGGGATTACGGTTGCGGCACGATTTCTTTTTGGCCAAGCAAAGTTTATGTTGGTGCAAAACCCAATATTTGCTCTCCACCAAGTCTAGGCATTGCTGGCGGATTGCAAGTTACGCATAACTTACAAGTGAAATTCTTTATTGGCCGACCTTATGACAAGAACTCATAATATACGACTCCCCTCGTTGGCTAAGAACTTTTCCAAACACTTCCGAGAAGTGTATAGTTACACGAATCTCCTTTACGAGAACTCTTCCTGGCTGGAAAATGATATCATCCGTGCAAGACATCTTAACGGACTCAATAAAGCATGCAGAAATAAACAGACGGATTGACCATCTGCACTCCAATTACAATGGTCTGAAACAGGCCCAACGAGAGGGGGGGATCGGGGACTTTTCCCCCGGGCCCGTAGATTGCATGCTTTTACAATATCTATGACGTAACTGACTACAGATTTTCATGGATTGTGATACTAATTCTACGCGTCTGAAAAAAATCAGTAATTTTGTTACTTCACATACGATGTATGTGACGCATGTTCTTATCTTACAGTCATTGCAGTAAGATTTAGTTTTGTATGAGAAAGATCAATTTATCAGGCTAAAATCTGTGAAAACATAGAGCTATAACTTGTAGAAAAAAATGAAGTTAATTGTCTGTCCAAAATAACTTCACTTTTGTAAATTGAAAAACACTCTCTCTTAGTAATGCAATTGAGAAAAGAGGAAAGGCGATAACTCCGAGCCAATATTATAATAATATAATTATAATAATATAATATAACATATCTCAGGACTGGCAACGTTATGTTTGGAATCTCAATTAGCTAGAAAACTTGACTTCGGTATTATCATTGAGGAATTTGCATCAGCTAAAGCAAGGAAGGCATATTTTTGAGGGTTGCTACCTATTAAAATACTTTTGTGATGCAAAATTGTAATAAAATTGCTTAAACAAAAATTGTTCCGATTACTCATTTATTTTCATTTTTATTCAAGTTCTATTTTATCTTAATCCCCAACTCGTTGATTTGCAGTGTAAGTACAAATAAACATATTTGTTAGATCATGAAATTAAGGTGTTGGGGGCCCGCATTTGAATTATCATCGGGCCCCGATTTTCTTTCGGCGGCCCTGGTCTGAAATAAATAGAAACTAATTGATCTCCTAAAAAAATTGGAAAACCGGAATCGCTCGAATGTGTTTGCACATCTTATACATACATATGCATATACATATATATTGCCAAATTCCATTTGCCACGCGAAGCGTCTTAATTACAGTCTTTAAAGACTTAATTTACATGCCATGATATGTTTGTATGTTTGTATGTCGATCTGTAGATATAGTTGGCGCTCACAGATGTGTGTACGTATTGTATACTCGTATAAATATGTTTGTAATATTTTGCGAAATTGCAAAAAAATATTCTGCAACAACAAACGCTAGATTCCTTTGTTGGTTATCACCACGTGGTAGTGGTTGGGATGTAAATGTGTTGCTAAACTGGCAGCAATTGTTCGCTGCGTGCCATATATCCACATACGCAGCAGCGCTAGTTGCAGCAGCTGGATACTGGGACGATGACGCATAACTAGGAGGTAAAAATATTCGTCATCTTTAAGTTGTAAACAAAAATTCTTGGTAATAATTTTATATCAAAATATTAAACAATAAAGAATTAATCGAAGCGTCGTTTTTTGAAAATTTTTCATATATTGATATTTTTTTTAATTTGAACCTCGGTAAAAGTCCTTTTTACCCTAAGCCGCTTTTTTTTTAAGATTGAATACTAGTTTATGATATATTCATTAACTTCATTTTTATGGTTTTCTGACAAATAGTGGTCATTTTATCAAATTAAAAGTAACAACGATCGACAACTCTCCAACAAATTGCCTAGAATTTGATTAACAAGGTGGTTAACAACATTTGAAAAGAAGGCCATGCTGCTGCTTGATCGGGTATCAAACATTTCGTAAAGTTTCTGTTGTGAATCAACCCTAAAACACGGTCTCTGCATTATCGTTAGCTCTTAAACACAAATAACATATTTCGCTTGTCAAGCTTTGTCATTATTAGACAGTCGTTATGGCAGAACAATGCAGCATCGCAAGAGAATTCGGAGACTAAAACTAATATTGCCAATGCGGTTAAATATTCGGTCAAATATTGTTAAGAATCGTTCTAATTTAGTAGAAAGGAAAAATTATTAAAATTACATCATTGCAGGATTTTTAATTGATTAAAATTGCTCCTTAAGAAGATCGCTGATGTGATGATATGCGATACATGTCACAAAATACTTTGCCAATGAAGACTTGTTATTGCTTACGGATGGTCCGAGATTGTTGATTGGCATTTTTTGCCATTGATATTTTGAGATTAAATATATTGAGGGATCTACAGTTTATATTAAGCCGTCTCCCAACGGCTGATAGTTTTTTTATGAGGAGCTTATTTCATGTCGTAAATACACTCGGAGGGGTTGACATTCCCTACCCTGAGATTAAATGATTAACTAAAAACTTGTCCTGCCAAAACTGTTGAATAGGAGGAAAATCAAGTTCCCAAAGGCATTTGTACAAAGGTGCTTGCTTTCAGACTGACTCGCGTAAATATTGCTCGCGTATCCTGAGTGTCCGAAAGTGGAAATTGGGTATAGACTGGCAACTGTAAATGCTTACCCAGAAAAAGGACTACATCCCACTTCCCCATCATCAGTCACTCTTTACAGTCATAACTTTGAAGTTGGAGATAATTTCGTCTCTTGGTTAACAAGGACAAAGCTCATTGATGATGACAACATACACGATGTTGAATCAGCAATAGGTGTTTTCGATAGAGGATACGTTGGTTTGGTCATTTTGTGGCAATGGTTGAGAACACAATATGTAGCTGTAAGAGTTTTGATGCGGCATCCGCCGGTGGTACCAGAAAATGAAGAATACATTCATATCGTTGTAAGCATTGGTTAAAGAAGGTCCTGTCTGCATTTGTCGCCAAGAGTGAAAAGCAGAAAGAGATTGACCATAATCGCCTGAGCGGTGCTTTCGCTAATATGGAAAAAGAAGGTAGTAATAATTTCTTAAAGATTTTCGAATCAATTATGTAGACCTAAAAATAGTTGTCAAC